TATGAGGTTATTTTTCAGTAAAAACAAGCTGTGTGTACTTCCTCACGTAGGAGCAAGGTGAAATTCTGTCCCACTGTCTCTCAAACTGGTTCACGTGATTAAAATATTTAGAATTTTGCACTTTTCCGTTCAGCCAATCACAGCGCGAGTTGAACAATAGGAGCGGGAAATTGTTCCGGTTCCTGGGTGAAACAGGACATGACCCGAAGTTTCCGAATATTTCTACAAAAATATGAAATTAATGACTGAAAATCGAACTAAACAACAACATCTTCAGCCTTAAGTTCATAGCAAGAAGACCACTTCTTTCATGGAGGGTAATCATTTTTACACGGCGTTATTTTTTTCCACTTTATAAGGCCCTAAAATGGCACAGGTCTCTGTACAATGGGGACGAGGTAGGTCTCTTTACTAAATGTCAACGAAAATAACAAATAGCGGCAAAAACAAGTTCTCAAATTAGGCTTATTTCAAAGGGAGATATCTCACAAATCTATTTAAGTTATAAACTTTTACAGGCATTTAAATCAAGTATCAATCATAATTGTGAATTATTTTACCAAATGTTGTGAAAGTGCATGTAGGATGTTCGGCAAAATAGCGGAAATAATATCAATTATTGAAAACTTGGTAGATATCAATAAGAACTGTGAACTTTTATGATTTGTTTTAATTTTTTTTCTTTCTTTTAACACAACTGCTTTAGCCAGTTGAACGCGACATGCACCCGCCGCGCCTTACTATCGTCCTAGAGAAACCCTGAGAAACCTTAGACTTCCGCCGTTATTTGCATTCAGGCAGACGTGACAAATTGTCACGGATATGTGTGTCACGCTATTTGTCCAATGTCACGCTATTTCAAAAAGGAAATACCAGTGAAAGCTTCAAATTTGAGTAATAACAGATAATAGCTGTATGCTAAAATATCGTAATTTATAAAACAACTAAGATGGTACACGCGTTCTGATTTGTTAAAAACCTATGGCTTATTGTGCTGGTAAACTCATAGAAAACTTGAGATGCTGGGAGAACACTCGAAAAGCTAGTAAATCACTCGCCTTCGGCTAGTGATTTACAAGCTTTTCGAGTGTTCTCCCAACATCCCAAGTGGGTTATCACGTCAGTAAACCCATAGAAAGTATGGTCTATTGCTTAAATATATTAGAGCTACAGTACGTCCTGAAAGTTGTAAATCTCACTTACAATCAAAGTCGCCCAATCACGATCGGGCAATTTACTAGGGTTTTGCTATCTTCCTCCCGCAATCGAGAATGTATCCAGTTTAAAAATAATCCGGGGAGATACGTAAGCTCCTTAGTGGGTACAAACAGGACGGGCGAGTATCACTTTTGGGCTTGTGATCCTTCCACAGTCTTCCTTGAAATTATATTCGTTGAATAGCAGGACCTAAACCCAGGGGCCCAGCTACCTTAAGCCATTAAGCCCGGGCTTAAAAAAATGGTTGGAAATCAGCTTTAGTAATCGCATTTTAACAGTGCATGAAACTGCAGACTGACATTCAAACTTAACACTAATTCAACGTATCGGCGGTGAATGTATGGTCTACTTGGTTGGGTCCTCTTTGTTTACTCTGATTCCCTCTCTCTCCTTCGCAGAGCCCTCTGGGATACCAAGAGGGAGCCTTTGCGGAAGACAGAGCTGATTACCTGCTGAAAATATCATCTGATCTAGTAAAACGTTTTTCCTTTTTTTTTCCCTTCTGTTTAATTCTGGAAACTAACTTCACGGAATTGGCCACCAATTTGAAATATTAAGTATCCAGGTTGCTCCAAAGCAAAAAATAATTTTGTGCCCTGGTTAACTGGGTTGATCTTTGCATTGATCGATTTTAAAATGCAGCTTGGAACAAGTTGTTCTTCACTTGAAAATCGATCTAAATACTAGCCTTGTTCTGCAATCATGTATTTTGCCGCAATAACATGTTATTGTTTTAACAACGTTAAAAAAATACACTCAGCGAAACAGACTGAACGGACTTCCAGACCTTAATACAAATGAAAAAGTCGCCACGTTTTCTAATGGAATGTCCGTGTCCACTGCAACCTTTGCACTAGGGGAAGTTAGAGCGATCTATGAAGATAAAGGCTGATCACTAGTTCTTAGGTGCACACAAGTCAGACACGCAGAGAGATACGTTTCTATTGACTTTGAGTGATAACAAGAGCGTTTCAAATAGAGTTCTTTATAAAGGACCAAAAAAAAAAAACTCTTATCACGGTCAGATACTCTCCGAGATACTGGTTATGATAGTTCACTCCTCAGTTCAAAGAGCCCGTTCGTTGAAAACTCACTACTAAACAATTCATTTAATGCAACATTTTGAAGCAAAAAAGAACTTTGCTGTAATTGTTTATAGGTCAGCGTTAACTTGGATTGCTGATATTTTACAACTCGGGTTTAAAATGGAAAAAATGGCTGGCTACGCCCCTGAACGCCGAAGTTAAAAACTCAACAAGGAGCTTTAGCCTGTTTTTCAGCACTCTGCTCGAGTCGCAAACTCCTTCGATGCGACTCGAGGAGACGTCTGAAATTCAGGGTTCAGGGAGCTAAAGCAAAGACGTTTGATGCACGTCGACCAGATTTTTTACAATAACTGAGCGAATCCTCGCCTGCTGATTGGTCGAAAGCAATGGTTTATGAGAGTTTATACAATGATGTGAATGCTACACGCGCTGTGATTGGTCGTTGCCCATGATCTATTAGAGTACAGATACATGGATGACGTCACGGGAAACTTGTTTTCTTTGTTTGTTTCAACATGGCACGCGGTTTTGAAAATGTTTGTGACATTATTTCGGATTGAGGCAAGTGAAAGCTTCGGAAAAAGTTTAGCAGGAGCTATTTACAAAGAAGAAAAATGGAGAAACGGAGACCAAAAAAGCTATTGATCTCGCTGTTTTGCAAAATGTTTTCGCTATTATTCTTCTTTGAGCAAGAAAAGACGGTGAAAACCTTTTCGAAGAAACTGTACACAAGTAAGATAAAGAAGAAGCTAAGATGAAAAGTTGGGTTTGGGACTTCAAAAATGCCTAAACTAGCACAAATTCTCAAAAGGTCAAGCGGTTCGAGGCAGGTATGTGTATCGGTCTTTTTCTTTTCTGATCATTGTATAAAACAAATAGATTCCATGTTGCCGTGGGTGTGTTCAGTAATAGATCACAGAGGACGTCAAAATGTGGTAAAAACAACAGTGACACACTCGCCTACGGCTCGTGTGCCACTTCTTTGTTTTTACGACATTTTGACGTCATCTGTGATCTATTACTGAACAGACGCACGGTAACATGGAATCTATTTGTTAAATAGACCATAGAAATGACGTAACATGTCACGAGTGATTTTCCGAGAAACTTTCGGAGGAAACTAAAAATGAATGTTATTGTAACATACAAATCGAACACAATTTTCCATGGTCTACACTCTTGTACATCACAGAAATTATGCCATAAAACGTCATTTCTATGATCTATAACAGCGTAGACCATGGAAAATTGTGGTCGATTTGTTAAATTCTCTCTTGATCTTTCCAAAATAGCGATTGCAAGATTCCTTAGTAGTAAGCCATTTCTAGAAAGTCCCGTTAACTTTTCGGGCCCTGAATCAATAATATTCAAAAAGAAAACTAAGGAATACAAGCGCAGGTCCTAGTTAGTCCATGTCTTGGCCCTGAGGGCCCCAGTTTGGCCTAAAATGAGAGAAAACCAGGCCTCTCCCCTAGATCTGCCCCTGTTCTTAGCCCAGATACAGTTCCCTTTTTCGCCCTGGATACCCTTTCTAAATACTTTACGTACATTATTTATGAAGAAGGCGATGATTAACTACGAAATGAGAGATAACATACTACGTTGTAGAGCTTCATAACCCTCAATGAACAGCATGATCTTTATACTTTCTTAATTGATTGTGTTTTAATAAAATCAAACGTATTCCATACGTGCACCTTTTAGAAACGCCTAGCTATCTGAACTAAAATACACTACATATTATTTTATCACTTTGAGGAAATATAGGCGGGTTAAAATGATCTCATAAACAGGTTCTATAGCTTTCTATAAAAAACCAAGAGACCTTAATCCTCTATTGTAAAAACAAATCGTATAATTTCTTAAAATATAAAAACCATAGCAAGTTTTCAACTAGAGGAGATTTGTCCGCATCCTTTTGGCCGTTTACGCGCAGATACGCGAATCTTAAATCAGGAGATTTTAAATCCGGAATCTAAGGAGAATACTTTGTTACATTTTTTCTAAACCAATTTATTTACCAGCTCCCAATTGTTAAGAGCGCTGCGCCAGTATCACAGACGTTCAGGGTTTTCGCAACTGCATAAATTGCGTATTTAACTGCGATGATCTATCCTGTCTGTATTTATTTCTTTATTCCGCAGTTCAAGTATATCAAGTTCATATATTCATCTTTTCAGAATACTTTGTATCCAATGAATATTCCCCGATTAACTGATGCGTGTAAGCGCCTGCGAGTCCGAGTACCCTAAATGTAATGAACCCGGAAACATTTATGAATCTGGAAAAGTCTCTTCTAGTGTAAACCTAGCCCAATAACTAGCAGTTGTAAGTGAAAACTGTAATGCTCATAGAGAGGAGAAGTCGTTATATCACCTGGCCACGGTAGCAATATTTCTGGGTGACAACAAACCAAAGCCGTCACTTAAAAAGTAAATTCGCACTGTTCCAAACTTCATCATTCTTACTCAGTTTCATTTAATTTGTTACGTGTTGGCAAAATTCTCTGGGGTTGAATCCGAAAGGACAGTATCTGAGTTTGGAAAAAGAAAAAGAAAATTTATGTTCCGTGTTCACCAACTCCATAGAGCCAGCGCGTGAAGTTAGGAAGTTTCATGTCGCAGTCGTGTGTAACGACGGCTAAGAAATGTACAAAAAAGCGTGATGCACGTGCAAAGTTGTTGTTTTGCTCATATAAACTTATCCCTTTTCGCCGTTCTCCATGGCAACCTGATG